TTAAAAAAATGTCCTGTTCCACCTGGATGGCAGTTAACATCCAACAGCGGCATATGTTTAATCTGGAAAATTAGGTACAGCTCTAAGGAATACCCATGATTCTATGATAACTGTGATAAACCAGTACTGTGATTTCCAAATCTTTGAGACAGAAGAGTCAATAAACCATCTCTACCCCTTTCATTAACTTGGCCTAGGGCTGGAGTGCTTTGGAGGAAATTTCAGCACTATCAAGAATACTTTTTGAGAAGCAGTAATATAATGTTTGTTTTCCTTTGATGTCATGGGCAAATTATATAACATGCTATTATATTTTCTTTTTTTTTGGAGACAGATTCTCGCTCTGTCACCAGGCTGGAGTGTAGTGGCACTATCTCAGTTCATTGCAACCTCTGCCCTCACAGGCTCAAACAATCCTCTCACCTCAGCCTCCCAAGTAGCTGGGACCATAGGCACACACCACCATGCCTGGCTATTTTTTTTGTATTTTTGGTAGAGATGGGGTTTTGCCATGTTACCCAGGCTAGTCTCGAACTGCTTGCCTTGGCCTCCCAAAGTACCGGGATTACAGGTGTGAGAAAACACACTTGGCTATATTTTCAATAACAGCATTGTAAGGAAACTGCCCAGAAACTAGCAGGTTTCTAAACTACATTTTGAAAACCACAGCAAGTAGAAAAAAGGGGGCACCAGTTTAAAAGAGGACATGGACATCTACTACTTCATTTTCTCTTACTCATCTGTTCATTTATTTGCCTCTTTAAAGATACTAACTATATGTAAGATAAATATTCAGTGCCTTCTGTGTGCTAGAGGCGAGGATGTGAGGATGAACCTGGTATCTGCCTGTATCAGAGAATGGCTATCTAGTTACTAAACCCATTTCCTCTATTTTGCTGGGCATACAGTTAAAGTATATTTTCCAGACTCCCTACAGTTAGGGGTGGCTTATGACTGAATTGACAGCCAATGCAACAGAAGACTTGGTCCATGAAAACCTCCCATGCAATATCCCTTCCATGCTTTTCTACCTGCTGGATTGATTAAGCTGCGCATGGCAACCTTGAAAAAAAAGTCTTGAGGAGGGTAGAATCACAAGATGGAAGGAGCATAAATCATTACTTGCAGAGGGCCACTGGCTAACTGGTAACCTTTTTGGGACTTTATGGGACCAAGAAATAAATTTGTTTCCTATTTGAGCCGTTAAACATTTCTGAGTTGTTTTGCTATCACAACTGACATTAACTAATATTGTGAACTTAAGGAGCTGATTCCTTTTTAAGGAGACACTTACCCTCCTCCACAAAACCATAATACAACTTGATAAATGCTATTATAGAATAACATTTATACAAAAGCGGAATAAGAGCAGTTAATTTTGCCCAGAAAGCGTTTTTGATATAAGTAACATGTGAACTGGGCTCTGAAGAAAAGATAAAAATTTACCAGGGAGACAAGTAGTGGAAAGGGGTGATGTAAACAAAGGCATAAACAGGCATAATATGCCCAGGAGTATTTGTATATTGGCTAGGTGTTTTTGTGAGGGGAGTGGGAACTAAGACCAGAAAAGTGGCCTGGGGTCAGACTGCGGTATGGTAAAGAGAACAAACATTATCTTGTATGCAGCGAGAGTCACTAAAAATTTCAAGTAGCACAATGTAGGATGGTAGGCTAAAGGGGAGAGCTGGAGACAGTAAGATAAAGGAGGAAGTACTGGTAGTGGATATGAAGAAGGGATAGCACTGACAAATATGTGTGTGTGTGTGTGTGTTTGTGTGTGTATTTACCTATTTTTTTTTTTTTTAGAGATGGGTTTCTACTTTGTTGCCCAGGCTGAAGTGCCGTGGCTATTTACAGACTCGATCCCAGTACTGATCAGCATGGGAGTTCTGACCTGCTGTTTCCTATCTGGGCCAGTTCACCTCTTCTTAGGCAACTTGGTGGTCCCCAGCTCCTAAGGTCTCAGAAGTCACCATACTGACGCTGAACTTAACATGGACATGCGATTGGCATAGTGCACTACAACCGAGAATTCCTGGACTCAAGTGATCCTCCTGCCTAAGTCCCTGTGTGGCTGGGACTACAGGCATGTGCCACTGTGCTCAGCTGACAAATATATTTTTTCCATAAGTTATTGGGGTATAGGTGGTATCTGGTTACACAAGTCCTTTAGTGGTGATTTGTGAGATTTTATTGCACTCATCACCTGAGCAACATACACTGTACCCTATTTGTAGTCTTTTATCCCTCACCTCCCTCCCACCCTTCCCCACAAGGCCCCAAAGTCCATTGTATCATTCTTATGCCTTTGTGTCCTCATAGCTTAGCTCCCACACATCAGTGAGAACAAATAATGTTTGGTTTTCCATGCCTGAGTTACTTCACTTAGAAGAATAGTCTCCAATCTCATCCAGGTCACTACAAATGCCGTTAATTAATTCCTTTTTTTTTTTTTTTTTTTTGTGAGAGGGAGTTTCGCTCTTGTTGCCCAGGCTGAAGTGCAATGGCACAATTTCGGCTCACTGCAATCTCTGCCTCCCGGATTCAAGCGATTCTCCTACCTCAGCCTCCCAAGTAGCTGGGATTACAGCCATGCAATACCAGGCCTGGGTAATTTTTGTATTTTTTTTTAGTAGAGATGGGGTTTCATCACGTTGGGCAGGCTGCTCTCAAACTCCTGACCTCAGGTGATCTACCTGCCTTGGCCTCCCAAGGTGCTGGGATTACAGGCATGAGCCACCATGCCAGGCCCGTCATTCCTTTTTATGGCTGAGTAGTATTCCATCATATAAATATATCAGTTTCTTTATCTACTCGTTGATGGATGGGCATTTGAGTTGGTTCCATGATTTTACAATTGCAAACTGTGCTGCTATGAACATGAGTATGCAAGTATCTTTTTTGTATAATGACTTCTTTTCCTCTGGGTAGATACCCAGTAGTGGGATTGCTAGATCAAATGGTAGTTCCACTTTTAGTTATTTAAGGAAATCTCCACACTGTTTTCCATAGTGGTTGTACTAGTTTACATTCCCACCAACAGTGTACAAAGTATTCTCTGTTCACCACATCCACATCAACATTTACTGTTTTTTGATTTTTTGATTGTGGCCATTCCTGCAGGAGTAAGGTGGTATTGCATTGTGGTTTTGATTTGTATGTCTCTGATCACTAGTGATGTTGAGCATTTTTTCATGTTTGTTGGCCATTTGTATATCTTCTTTTGAGAATTGTCTATTCATGTCCTTAGCCTACTTTTTGATGGCCTTGTTTTTTCTTACTGATTTGTGTTCATTATAGATTCTAGATATTAGTCCTTTGTCAGATGTATAGATTATGAAGATTTTCTCCCACTCTGTGGGTTGTCTGTTTACTCTGCTGTTTGTTCCTTTTGCCATGCAAAAGCTCTTCAGTTTAATTATGTCCCAACTATTTATCTTTGTTTTTAATACATTTGCTTTTGGGTTCTTGGTCATAAAATCTTGCCTAAGCCAGTGTCTAGAAGGGTTTTTCCAATGTTATCTTCTAGAATTTTTATAGTTTCAGGTCTTAGATTTAAGTCCTTAATCCATCTTGAGTTGATTTTTGTATAAGGTGAGAGATGAGGATCCAGTTTCATTCTCCTGTATGTGGCTAGCCAATTATGCCAGCACCATTTATTGAAAAGGGTGTCCTTTCCCCACTTTATGGTTTTGTTTGCTTTGTCAAAGATCAGTTGGCTGTAAGTATTTAGGTTTATTTTTGGGTTTTCTATTCTGTTCCATTGGTGTATGTGACTGTTTTATACTGGTACCATGCTGTTTTGGTGACTATGGCCTTACAGTATAGTTTGAAATCAGGTAGTGTGATGCCTCCAGATTTGTTCTTTTTGCTTAGTCTTGCTTTGGCTATGCGGGCTCTTTTTTGGTTCCATGTGAATTTTAGAATTGTTTTTTCTAATTCTGTGAAGAATGATGGTAGTATTTTGATGGGGATTGTGTTGCATTTGTAGATTGCTTTTGGCAGTATGATTTTCACAATATTGATCCTACACAAACATGAGCTTGGGATATGTTTCCATTTGTTTGTGTCAGCTGACAAATATTTTTGATGTAAAAACTAACCTGATCAGTGTAGTGGGCAAGGGGAGGGGGATGGTAAAGGTCAAGAGCAGTGCAAGGTAATCCTGAAGCCTCTGTCTAGAAGAATGAGTAAAGTCTTACATACTGAGAAAAGTGGATGTTCTGAGATCAGAAAACAGGTACAGATTGTGGGGGAGAGAGGAGTTCAGTTTTAAAACAACCGAGTTTGAAATACCATTTTGAAGCCCTCAGATAGGTCATGAGGTATGATTGGTCAAGTCTAAAACTTATTTAATTTAGGTATGGGTCATCTTTTGGAAGTGAGAATATGGGAAAGCCCTGAATTGAATTGATAGGTAGATCCCTAAGCCTCCTTAGGAGACAACACTAATTTTTTAAAGTGTAAATTCCATTTTTCAAAAAAATGGTAATCATATGATTCAAATAAACAATTTAATAAAGAGTGAGGTCTTTCTTTTCTCATTTCTCAAGCAACTCATTTTCTCCTCCCAGAGTAAGCAATGTTATTGGGTTTCTTTTGTATCCTTCCTGATGTACTCTTTACACATACCAGCACGAATGCATAAACCTTCTGTTCTTTTTTTTTGTTTTTGAGACAGGGTTTCACTCAGTTGCACAGGCTGGAGTGTAGTGGTACAATCTTGACTCACTGCAGCCTCCGCCTCCTGGGTTCAAGCGATCATCCCATCTCAGCCTCCTGAATAGTGAGGATTACAGGCATATGCCACCATGCTCAGCTAATTAAATTTTTTTTGGTAGAGACAAGGTCTCACTATATTGCCTAGGCTGGTCTTTGAACTCCTGGGCTCAATCGATCTTCCCATCTCTGCCTCCCAAAGTGCTGGGATCCTTCCATGCTTTTTTATGACACGTATACACAAACCCTTCACCTTCCCTGGCTAAGGGACATTTACTTACCTTAGAGTGGCTCCCTCAGTCTTAATCACGTCTCCATCTTTCAGATAAACATATTGTTGCTCTCCATTTCCTATAATTTCTTCTCTCTGAGGATTCCGTGGGAGTTTTTTAATGCAATAGGTAGTGTCTAGTCATAAAACATATAAAATATATTGATTCACACTTTAAATTATAATTAAGGCTTTTAAGAGATCAACTTTCATAGAGCTAACACTTGTGAATGACTGCATAAAATATTAACATTAAGAGACAATAGAAAATGGGATGAATTACAGCAGGTTATCTCTGGGATGTAACTATTTCATATCTTTCAACCAAACAGCTCTTCATTCTTTCATGCCCCTCTAGGTTTACAAGAAAGCCTCTATATTTTTTGAGTCACTCCTAGTTTATATAAAACATTTAAAAGTAGTTCTTCATAATCTCAGCTAGCTTTGGCATCCCAACAAGTGTTGAAGAGGCAGTAATACAGAACCTGGAAACTTTATCCAGGTGCCTAACATGTAGCAAAGGTGTCATACAGTAATTAATAACAAAAGGATGATAGCATGAGGTCCTTGCTATGAGTACTGAAATGAAGCCCCAAAGCAGTGGCTAAGATATTAAACCTTTAAAATAAGCTTAATCTATACCACCCCTCACTGACACAAAGAAAATAAATTAATTAACCAATTAACAATTGAGTGCCAATTAACTAACCAGTATACTAGGTACACTGAATACAATCACTGTGATATCAAAAGTTGCCCTGATTGGGAAACTAAAATTTACAAACATGAAACAAAGAACTATACTTGGTACCATTTAATGAATATTAAATGGACAATTCGGCTAATAAAGGCAGCAGGAGTTCAGAGAAAGGAGAGTTAGGAAACGATTTATAAATATGATAGAACTTGAGGTGTGACTTACAGGATGAGCAGGATGGGTAAAGGTAAAGAGAAGGAGTTGTAGGTAAGGGGAACTGCATTAGGAAAGGCATTAAGTCCAGGCATGGTGGCTCACACCTGTAATCCCAGCACTTTGGGAGGCCAGGGCAGGCAGATCACAAGGTCAGGAGTTCGAGACCAGTCTGGCCAATGCAGTGAAACCCCATCTCTACTAAACATACAAAAAAATTAGCCAGGTGTGGTGGTGTGTGCCTGTAGTCCCAGATACTAGGGAGGCTGAGGCAGGGGAATCGAGTGAGCCCGGGAGGCGGAGGTTGCAGTGAGCCACGATCGCGCCATTGCATTCCAGGCAGAGCAGCAGTGTGAGACTCTGTCTCAAAACAAACAAACAAACAAACAAACAAACAAACGCATTAAAATAAGAATAAACATGACATATGTCTGACAACATAATGCTATCAATTTTTCTACTGCAAAATACTGGCTGGGAAGAGTGGAGATAAAGTTAGATAGGTAAGATGAGCTCAGATCAGAAAGGGTCTTAAATTACCTTCTACAAAATAGAAGAATATAAACTTTATCATGTGTAATCACTACACATTCTTTAGTAAGATAATGAAATAGTGTTAACTCATGATAAATATGGCGGCTGTGGGTAGGGAGACCAAAAGGAGATCAGAGAGCCCAGGAGGGCAATGACTGCAATTTCCCAGCTGGAAGGTACTGAATATTAGGGTTAAGATGGTAGCACTGGAAATATGAAAGCAGAAAGAGATATTTCAAAGAAAAATGGACAAGGCACACGAATCTGCTAGTTTGAGGATAAAGGAGACAGAAACACTGAAATAAAAAGAAAAGAAACAACAACAAATACCACTTCCCCTTCCAACCCCAAACTCTATTATTTTGTATCTTAGAGGCCAAAGGAAAACAATGATATGCTTTTCTGGGAATTGACATCATATAACAAGATTGAGATATTGAGTTTTTTTTTTGTTTGTTTTGTTTATAAGCTGTATAATTTTATCTTTCAGTAAAGAAATGGAGGCGTTACATTTCTGCTTATGAGACCTTTAGTAGACAATTTAAAAAAATCACAATTATATCAAAATTACAAAATCAATGTCATACTATAACTTTGTATCTGTTTTCAAACTTACGTGCAAATATAAATGAAAACACATATCCTATTTGAGTGGTTGTTGGAGGCTGGGGATGGGGGAAATCACTGCAAAGCAGCACGAGGGGACTGTTTTTGGAATGGAGGAAGTGTTCCATATCTTGACTGGAATGGTCACGTAGGTATTCATATTTGTTAAAACTCACCAAACTGTTCACTTAAAATGGGCATATTTTATGTATGTAAATTAAAGCTCAATAAAATTGATTTATGAAGGAAAAAAGTGGGCTATAAACATTTTAATTTTTCAAACTGAAAAATCTGAAGAGTTGGCTGAGGTGACAAAGCTAATTAAGAAATCACAGAATAGTGTTTTTTTCCCCCCGCAAACAGGGTTTCACTTTGTAGCTCAGGCTGGTCTTGAACTGCTGAGCTCAAACTATCCTCCTGCCTCAGTCTCCTGAGTAGCTGGGATTATAAGCACATACCACCGTCTCTGGCATAAAATAGTTTTTTAATTCACAAGATTTAATAGGTAGATTAAAAGAAGAGGTTTAAGACAAGATTAAAAGAGGCAAGACAAGAGAAGGAAAAGTCAGAGTGAGAGATTATAAGTTCCTGTGGTATACAGTGCCCTTAGATTGGAAGAAAGGAGCTAAGAGGGTAAGGAAGCTTGGTTGCCAGTTTTTTTAATAACTGGCCGCCTGGTGATATTGGGTGTGGTAGCTGAGATGTCCCAATTATAGTCACAAGGCCTAAAAAAGCAGATCTTTACAAATGTTTAAAAATACTAGCTCAATGTAAACGAGCGTGAATGTTCTTGACCTCCTTACTGTGCCCCGAATGTGCCAACCACACTCTCATTCCAGCATCTTTGCTCTTGCAATGCTGTTTGCCTGGCAGGCCTTACTGCCAGGAGCTTGCTCCTTCTCTCTGTCCACTCTGGATATAACAGCCCTTGCCCTTCTCCACTTTACTCTCTCTTCCCTTTCTCTTATTATACCTTTATTTTCCTGCATAGCCCCCATGATGATCTGATCTATTTTTTTCTCTTTTTTTTTTTCATTCTGGTGCCCAGGCTGGAGTGCAGTGGCACAATGATGGCTTACTGCAGCCTCAGCTTCCCTGGCTCAAGCAATCTGTCCACCTTGGCTTCTCGAGTAGCTGGGACTTCAGGTGCATGCCACCATACCTGGGAAACTTTTGCACTTTTTTTGGAGAGACAGGGTCCTGCTATGTTTCCTAAGCTGGTCTTGAACTCCTAAGCTCAAGCAATCCACCCACCTTGACCTCCCAAAGTGTTGGGATTACAGGCATGAGCCACTGCACCCAGACTGATCTATTATTTATTTACCATTAACGTCCCTACTGGAATGAAAGCTCCATGAGAACAGTGTCTGTTTTGTTCACTGCCATACCCCTTGTGCCAAGAACACTGTCTGATGTATAACAGTAAAAGGAATATTTGTTTAATGAATGAATGAACGAATTTAGGTATATGATGGTGGGATGAGGAAATAAAGAGATGGAAAATATCAATACTGTATAGGTTTCAGGGACAATGAATTATCAATACAATGATATCTTCCCTGAATTTCAGCATATCTTAGTAACTGCCTTAAAGTTATAGAAGGCCTGAGAAAATCTGTTAGAATGTGAACAATAAGAGCACCTACCTCACAGTATCCACATAAATTGTTTAGTGCAGTGCCTGGCACAGAGTAAATGCTCAACAGTTGTTAGTTATGATTGAGTCTGAATAGTAACTCACAGACTAAAGTAAAATTGAGGATTTGAAACAGAAATCAGGACTTTCCGTTCCTCCTTTGTTAAAACTAGGCACAATATTCAACAGTCTCATCAATTTCTAAAAGTACCATTTAAAACTGAGGCATTTGGTAAATGGTTTATAGACTACTTAGCTCTGTAACTGAAATAAATTATTCTCCAAACATGGCTTTCCTCAATGAGCTTAATGAATGTTTTCTGTTTACCATTATTGATGCTTTTACAAATATCTCCTATGCCTCCAGAATGATCGTGGTGCCAGTGAGTCACTACAATTTCCTGGATTGCTGTGTTAAATTCAGTTAGAGCCTGCTTTAAACAGCGGATATATTCTGGAATTGCTGGTTCTCCAGTGTCAATGAGGATTCTCCTGAAAATTAAATGGAAGATAATCACACAATTGGAACGCTGAGTTGATATTAGCATTATTTTGTACACAGATAATTTACATTAAAGAAACTGCAAAAATTATTTTACTTTCAACATGCTCAAAAAACAGCTATGTCACTTCAGCTTAACTACAGTAATCTCACCCTAAGAAAGTTTTCTGAAAAAAATTAGAGCTAAATCTAAGTCTAAACAAGGAATAATAGCAATAATCTTGAACATTTACATAGCAATTAAAGAAAACATGGCACCATTCCAAGGACCTTACATATTTTAACAATTGCATTCCTCATAACAACTGGTTAACATAGATATTTTATCATTATATTTAGAAGTAACTTGCCCAGGTTACTCTACAGATAAATGGCAGAAACATCTTTCAAACCCAGGTATTCTGATGCCAGAATATGTGCTCTTATCTATCTGCCTTTGAGATCTCATATCTCAGTATATTTCAAAAGTTTTATAGATACGAAAGATTTTGATTCGATGGCACCCCTAAAGGAACTAGTCTTTGGCACTAGATATAGAACTATATAGAACTTATCACTGAAGTTTTACATTAGCACCCTGACACATTAAAATGAAGGCTTTAGTGAAGCACGGGAAAAACGTCTGAGCTATTTTCATTCTTTACTTAGACAACCCAATTAGCTGTTTTTTTTTTTTTTTTTTTTTTTTTTTTTTGCTTGTGGTTCTGAATCTTCCTTATATTTTGTTTGCCCTTCCTCATGGTTTCATGAGGTGGCCTTTATGAAGTTTTGCTGAACTAAAGACATCAGGGTGACATGTGCCTCAAGATCCATTTTTTTTTTTTGGAGTCAAGGTCTTGCTCTGTCACCCAGGCTGGAGTGCAGTGATGTGATCTCAGCTCATTGCAGCCTTGACCTCCCGGGTGCAAGCGATTCTCCCACATCCACCTCCTGAGTAGCTGCGACTCAGGTATGCGCCATCAAGCCCGGCTCATTTTTGTAGAGATGGTGTTTCGTCATATTGCCCAGGCTGGTCTCTTAACTCCTGGGGTCAAGCAATCCTCCCACCTTAGCCTCCCAAAGTGTTGGGATTACAGGTGTTGAGCCACCATGCCCAGCTCAAGATCCAATTCACAAACTTCTTTACTCATGCTGTTTCACAGTAACACCTCACTAATTCATGCTGGCTGACAGATTAGCCTCGATGAAAAGTCTGAGTTATTCATTCATTGATCAATAACTGTTTACGGATTACGTAATATGTGCTACAACTTTGTTCTTGCAGTAAGCAGGACAAAACATCCCTGCTTACATTCAACTGTTGGTGAGAAGGGGAACTGCATATGACTGGAAATAAACAATAAAAGTAACATACAATAGAAAGCATTTTGCAAAGCATTAAAATTAAACAGTGAGTAACTGGATGGCTATTTTTTATTGGTTGTTTTGTTTCCCTAACCCTACTCCCTGAGACCCAGAGCCAACAAAAACAAACTGGCCTCTCATAAGGGAGGAGGGCAATGGCCTCATAGCCCATTGGCTTCTATCTGCACCCTATGTTCTGTAGCACAGTAGATGTCCTTCAGAAACAGTGTTGAACTGTCCTATCCGGAGACAGTAGCCCAGGTGGTCACATTGGACCAAGGGGGCATTTATTATAGGGTTCTGTTGGTAGTTGAAATATAAGGAAGAGATGGCTTAAAGAACATTTAGAAGGTACAATCAACCAACCAACAGGATATTTGTTAAACAACTAGATGTGGAAGGAGGGAAACAGTTGGCGATTCTGAGGTTTCTAGGTGGGAGGATTGGTGTGCCATTAATCAAGAAGGTAAACCCTGGAGGGAGCAAATTTGAGATGAGTGTGATTTGGGTTAGAGAGAATTCTGATGCTATTCCTAGCTATCGTACCTCGCTTTTTTTCCATAGCAAAAAAATGTTATTACATGTTATTACCATGTAACATATTATTTATTTACATATTTATTTGTTTATTGCCTATTTCCACACCCAATACTACCCTACAAATTTGAGTCCCTTCAGGGCAGAAAGCTTGTCTGTTTGGTTCAAGGAATTTATGGATTTATTTGTTTATCTATAATACATTGTACTGCACTTAGCACTGTGCATACTTAGTCATGCTAAATTAAAAATACACAAGACTATAATACTATGATACCTCCAATAACACTCTCTAGCCCACCCATCCTAGATTTTGGCTGCCTCCATGCATTTGGGGTTATTTACCACAAATTCTCACTGCCCCTAAAGAAGAGTCAATGGGACTATTTTTGTGGGTCTTCTGGTCCTCAAAAAGAATCCTTCCACGCTTCATGTAAGACTCAAATTTTTTCAATCCATCAAGGCCCCACCACTTTTAAAATTATTTCTTAATCCTTGCCTTCCCGTCCTCCCAAGAAACTCTGTTCTGAAATATCTCATAATCTAAAAATGAATATAAATCTCTGTAATTTAAAGACCAGATCACATCACACTGATCATGACAAAAGTAACAGGGTTGATACACGAATTTGATAAAATCTAGTAGCAACGAAAACAGATCTTTTAGAATGCCTGTGCTGGTTGTTTGCAGTTGAAAGTTTGAGGGACCATATGACTGTGGTACTGAAGAACATGTTTCTGGGCCTCCAGTTTTAGGTCTCTTAATGGTCCTGTCTTGGTCTAACAAAATTGGAATTGACAAAAGAAGGGCTCTCAAAAGAAAGAAAACAGAAAAAAGTTCTGGAATTAATACAATCTATTCAGAACAAAGGAGGGGTGTCTAGATGCTATCAAACCTAAAACATGAGTTTGCAACAAGCTTTGAGGGAAAAAAAAAAGTCACACTGATAACATATTACATTGACAGAGCAATTTAAACCATTTGGAGCTTTCATATTTACTATTTCTTTTGATCCTCATATCAACTCTAGGGAGGAATTATTACTTTATTAATTATTTATTTTAAGAAAACAAGTCTTCAGAAAGGCTAAGTGATTTGCTCCAGGTCATATAACTAGCAAGAGGCAGTGCCGGGAAGCACTAGATGTTCAGATGCAAGGTCAGTGACTTCTCCATTGAAAACACGGCCTCTCTAGCAGAAGGGGATTGCTTAGGTTAAATGCTTAGAATCATTCTTTATGTGGCAAAAATAAAACTTCAGCTATACATTTGAAAAAACTGTTAACAGTTTTGAAATTGAAAAAAATGTTATTAGTTTCTCCCTTAGCAAACAGTTACTCTAACCATGATGTCTGTGAATAGTTATAATAGATGATTGGATAGTATCATCTCTACATGGGCTAGCTGACTTTGTTCTTTTTGGTCAAGACAATAATATCCTGTATCTTAGGAGGTCATTTTGCAAATGCAAATTATGCTAATCAAGGGCTCAAGAAAATAGATGAAATCTGTATAGGTCTATGAACGATTTATTCACTAGAGCAAAGTGTCTGGCACACAGTAGGCACACAATAACTATTTGCTACATGAATGGAGAAAAAAATGTTCAATTGATGGAAAATTAGTAGAATCAAATTCCTTGTTATATGTATTTTATGTCAATATTAAGATAGCTATTAACTGGTCTCTATTTGCTGTCACTCTTACAAAATCATTAGATATTTTCTGAACACTTACTGTGAGCCCAGTGTTGTCTAGATGTTATGAGGAAAGCAGAAGTGATAAAAATAATAGCTAACATGGTATGTTTTCCATGTGCTACAACTTAAGTACTTTTCATATATGTTTTTTTACTTAAATTTCACTGAATCCTCATAACATCTAATGAGGTAGGTACTATACAACCTTCACTGGGTTGTATCAGGCATCTGAAGCTTAGAGCTGTCTTGTCCAAAGTCATATGGCTAGTAAATGGCACCAGGATTTTAATCTAGGTAACCAGAGTCCAGAGTTTTAATTCTATTCCACTTGACTGCCTTTTTCTATTATCAGCCACACTATCTGCCCACAAAGTATGTACAATTTTGATAGGAAAGGTTAAAATTGCAGCTTTTAGAGGTTCTTGAGCAGAGGAGGAAAGTGAAAATACTGGACAATTTGGCTGTCATTAGTTGATTCAAATGCTTATGGAGTGCCTATGTACTAAGCATCACAGTTAGGTCTAGCAGTATTTTAGTGAAATTCATTTGGCATCCATGGGCTGATCAGATGAGAAAGGAAGACTAGCTAAAACTATAGTTATCCAGCAGTCTTGGAGTCATTATAGTGAAAATTAAGAGAAAATGTACAGAATGCTCATTCATTCAGCAACTATTTAGTGTTCCACCTGTATCATGTATAAGGCTCTGTGCTAGGGGCTGGGGATATAGCCATGAATACGCTTTCACTGAACTGATGTTATAGTGGGGTATGAAGGTGTGGAAAGACACTAAGCTTCTTGTACAAAAAAATCATTTCATTATCATTGAGATAAGGACCATGAAAAGTATGGAGTGCTTCTAATACAGTCTGATGGGTCAGGGAAGACTTCCATGAGGGAATGGTATTTCAGCTGTGCTCTAAAGGATGAATGAGATTAGCTGGATAAAGAAGGGAGGGAAGAGTGGAAGAAAGAGGAAAGCATGCATGAAGGCCCTGAGACAGGGTATCATAAACCTCATCTGAAACACTATAAGGCCAGCATGGCTGGAATGGGAGAGGTTTGACAGGAGCCCGATAAGACTGATGGAGGTCAGAATACACAAGGCCTTCCAATTTTCATTCCTAACATACCACTCAGGCTACATAGGGAAGATTGGATTGGAGAGAGACAGAAGCAGTCTTACAGAAGCCAGTTAGGAGGCTATTACAGTAGCCTAAGCAAGAGTTCTGCTGGCTTGGACTGAGTGGTAGCAGGGGACATGAATAGATCTTCATAATGGCTTGGTTATGCAGTAGGAAGCAAATAAATGTCTGGGAGGGTATTTAGGCATTTCCTTTGATGGTTTTGTTTACCAAGATATGAACAACTGGAGGAGGACCTGGCAGTTTTCTGGGAAAGTTTATGAGTTCAGTATGGAAAACACTGAGTTCCAGACAGCAGTGAGTCATGCAAATAGATTTAAAAGTTGGCTACTTAGTCTGAAGATCAAGTTTGGAATTTGAACTGGAGCTATATATTTGGTAGTTAATAATAAACAGATAATAAAGGTAAAGCCAAAGAAGTAGATGAGGTCACCTAGAGAAAACAGTAGGAGGACATGAAAGATGAGGATTACATCTTGAATAACTAAAATCATTAAAGATTTGGTAAAGAAGGTGACTCTATCAAGGTGAAAGAGAAAGAGCAGCTCGAGAGGTAAGAGGAAACCTGAAGAATGTGGTGTTGGCAAATTAAGGAGGGAGTGGTCAATGGTGTCAAAGCATTGAAGTTCAAGGAAGATGAGAACAGAAAAAAATACCATTGAGGTTAGTGATACAAAAGCCGCTTGTGATCTTAGAACTGTTTTGTGAAGCGGAGTGGGTGGACACCAATCTCAGAACATCTGACAAGAGGTCAATTAGTATTAATTTCTAGCCACCTTTTACTGTACATGTTTTACTGTATACAGTAGCATCATCTACACTTATTTCTAGCTCAACTATACAGACTCTCTAGTTCAACTATTTGGAGAAATAATTTACATAGTGCAAGTAATTCCACTGGCTATTCCACTCCATTAATTTACGTGAGCAACAGTGTTAAGTAATTTAAGACAGGAGACTATAAATCTGCTTTTCCCTCAGTTAGTCTTTAAGTCTCTTTTAGCACTAGCACTTTGCTATGTTGAGTGTGATTCTAGTGTTTAAAGATACAGTGTGTATTTTTCGCACAACATAGCCCCTAAACACAAGCCAATTTCTTCATCTGGTTTTCAAACAGAATCAGCCATCTGTTTCAACGCTGGAAAAAAGGTAGGTTGTGCTGAACTGAGACAATACACTGATCTCCAACATGGTGTTCTTCTAAGAGACTTTCCAGGGTAATTCTGATAATATGCATCTTTTGTCTGAGGTATTGACTAGTTTAAGATGACACACTGAAGAGAGACCGCCTATGGATTTACTTGGTTGAGGGACTTCCAGCCAAGACAGACTGTAACCTAGAGATCTGGCATTTTTCCTGCTTAATTCTCTACCCTCCTAGATTCTGGTGGTAGCCTAAACCTTTGGTAACTACCTGACCCTGCCTTGTTTACTCTGAGCTTAATCTTTTACCTGCCCACCTTGTAGGTCTGCTGCTTCTAAAATTCTTATTTACTGGAAAAACGCCAAACAGTAGACACTTCCAAGGAAAACTCAATTAACTGTACTTACTAAATCGTTTTTAGTAATCAATTATATTTTAAAAATTATTTATGTCTTGACTGCACAATTAAACTCTACGCTCAAGAGACAGTACATTTTCTTGGTTCATCCAGGAAAGACTACAAAAGTTGCTAAATGCCTAAGACTTACTATGCAGTAAACCAAATCTCCCATTCCTGCATAATTTCACTAAAACAGAACGCAGTTAAACAAGAGCAAAAGTATCTTCTTAGAAATACAGATGTGTTACTGTGTCTGCAAATTAAACTCAAACAACTGAAACAAAAAACTTCTCCAAATTAGTTACGTCAGCTCCTCTTAGGATCCCACAGGCTACAGAAAACCAATTTGGAAGCCAAGAGAATCCTGCCCTCTGCTGCTGAGTTGAGGAAATCGCCTCAACATAATCGCTTTTGAGAAGGGAAGTTCCACTCTGGGCAAAACACCAGTTAAAGTCAAGTGAGCAAAGTAAACCCTTTCTTGGACTCTTGACACCCGAATTTCCTCAAGTTTAAACACGCACACTCTGGCATTCAAACATCAAGCAGAGTAAATCGGGTTTCAAAACAGGAAGTTTCTTTCTTTCTTTTCTTTTTTTTCCATTTCTCGCTAAATTAGAGAGCTATCACCCGGGGTGGTCGTATTTTAGCTAGCTTCGAGATCCGAGTGTCTTGCGTGCAGTCCCGGCGGGCCGCTAGGCGCGGGGCTGCCCTGCTAGGGACAGGACGCGGCGCTCTCCACTGCCCGCACACCCGCGATCAGTCACAGCCCGGGCTCCGCGGCCGGCCGCGTACGTTGGGGAGGTTGGAGAAGAACGTTTACCTGGGGCCGGTCCCCACTAGGTAGGTGTTAGTGCCCTGGAGGGTCATGGGACCCGGGTTACAGCCCAACACACGCACGACTCGATTGGACAGCCGCTCGACGCGCTGCAGTATAGCAGCCATTCCCGCCTCAGCCGGCGCCGCAGTGTTGCCTATCTGGATACTCCACCGCGGAACAAACCAACAGGCCGCGGACAGCGAGTAGCGTCCATGTGACGCCGCGCAAGCCGGGAGGGAGGGGATTGGCTAGCGGGGGAGAGGGGGGCAGGTATCATGTGACACCGCGGGCGCGCTGGGGCGGGGATCCGGCAGCGCGGCCGGGGACAGAACCAGAGGTCACGTGACGCCGCGCGGGCTGCGCCGGCAGTGGTGGGAAGGCTGGCGCGAGGCGTGAGGTGGCGTGAGGCGAAGCGGGAATCTGGCTCTGTCACGGGGGCTGGTGCTTCACGGGTTTGTGTCCTAGACAGGCGAGTGGATCCCAGTGGGCGAGACATTTTAATCTGGAAGAGTCTTGTGATGGGGCAGACAGGTTTGGTAACTGTTCGTTATTCAGTAATAAATCCCAGGAAGGATTGCCAGTCAGACTTTTAGGCAGTGGCTCTGTGTGTGTATGTGTGTAGTAGTGGTAGCCTGTTCATCTTTTTTTTTTTTTTTGAGACGGAGTCTCGCTCTGTCACCCGGGCTGGAGTGCGGTGGCGCGATTTCGGCTCACTGCAAGCTCCGCCTCCCGGGTTCACGCCATTCTCCTGCCTCAGCCTCCTGAGTAGCTGGGACTACAGGCACCTGCCACCACGCCCGGCTAGTTTTTTGTATTTTTAGTAGAGATTGGGTTTCACTGTGTTAGCCAGGATGGTCTCGATCTCCTGACCTCAGGTGATCCACTCGCCTCGGCCTCCCAAAGTGCTGGGATTACAGGCGTGAGCCACCACGCCTGGCCAGCCTGTTCATCTTTTATAATAAATACTGGTAAGACATATTTACTTAGTACTTCCTACTGTGCCTAAGTGCTTTCTACAAACATCCCACTTAACTCCCTTAATCCTCAAAACATTATTAAGAGGTGGACACTATTTTTGTTACAAATGAAAAACGGGGATTGGGCGGCTGCCCAGCTGACAGAGTCTGCGTGTGCAGCCTTGCTCCTACCTGCCTCGCACTAACACTTGCCCAGCGTTGTGAGATTGAAGGAGCGTGTCTCTGCCTCCCAGTGTTACCCGCCTGCCCAGAGAGCTAGGCTGGTCTTGTGGAGCTGTTTTATGTCCAAGATGGCAGGGACTCATTTTCTCTGTAACAAGTCGGTTTCTAATTAGCCAAGTATTAACTATCCAGTGTTAACTACCGCTTCCCATTAAAAAAGTTGAGTTATAAATTACCTAAAAGAAAATACACAGATCCTGTAGTGAGTTCATCGAGTTCATTCTCCTACATCAGGCATTTCAATCTGTCAATATGTATTTACTATAGCCATCAATTAATGGCTATTCAGGCAGGAAGCTATGCACATCTTCCCTTTTTAAGAACTCTGCTGAAAAGTTCTCCTGAGAATCGGGGCACACCCATTCTTTTATCCTTTAGCTTAAATAATTTCCTTACTTAACTTACTTATTTACTTACAGGGTCTGGCTTTCACCCAGGCTGTAGTGCAGTGGCACTATCATAGCTCACTGTAACCTTGAACTCTTGAACTCAAGCGATTCAGGTGATCCTCCTGCTTCGGTCTCCCAAAACACTAGGATTACAGGCCTGAGCCACCATGCCTGGCTGAAATAAACTTTTTAGCTCCCACATATAAATAAGAATATGTGATATTTGTCTTTCTATGCTTGGATTATTTCACTTAGCACAGTAACCTCTAGTTCCATCCATGTTGCTGCAAATGACATGATTTCATTATTTTTTAGGGCTAAATAGTATTTTATTGTGTGTATACATCGCATTTTCTTTATCCATTTGTTTGTTGATGGACTTTTAGGTTGATTTCATATCTTTCCTATTGTGAATAATGCTGCGATAAACATGCAGGTGCAGTTCTCCCTCTGATATACAAATAGTAGTGGGATTGCTAGATCATATGGTAGTTCTATTTGTGTGTGTGTGTTTGTGTGTATGTATGTGTGTATTTTATAAATCTCTGTACTGTTTTCCATAGCGGTTGTACTAATTTACATTCCCACCAACTGTGTATGAGAGTTCCTTTTTCTCTACATCCTCTCTAGCATTTGTTATTGTCTTTTTAATAACAGCTATTCTAACTGGGGTAAGATGATATCTCATTATGATTTTGATTTGCATTTCCCTGATGATTAGTGATGTTGAGCATTTTTTTCATATATTTGTTGGCCATTTGTATGTCTTCTTTTGAGAATTGTCTATTCATGTTCTTTGCCCTCTTTTTGATGGGATTATTTGTGTTTTCTCTTGTTGAGTTGTTTGAGTTTCTTGTATGTTCTGGATATTAGTCCCTTGTCAGATGAATAGTTTGCAGATACTTTCTTCTGTTCAGCAGATGTCTCTGCACCCTGTTCATTGTTTCCTTTGCTGTGCAGAAGATTTTTCATTTAATAGAGTCAAATTTGTCTGTTTTTATTTTAGGTGTATGTGCTTTCGAGGTCTTAGCCACAAAATCTTTGCCTGAACCAATGTCCTTATGTATTTTACCTATATTTTCTTCTAGTAGTTTTATAGTTTAAGGTCTTATGTTTAATCCTTCTTGAGTTGGCTTTTGCATATGTTGAGAGACAGGGTCCAGTTTCTTTAGCTTTTTTTAACAATTAAACTTTCACCTGCACTTTCCTTTTGGATTCCATTTAATCAATTGCCAAGCTCCTCATTTGGCAGATGAAGAAATAGGCCAAATGATTTAACAGTAAGGCAACTTGCATAGGGTCATACAAGGAGATACTAGAAGAAGAGTACAAATAGAGGGTAGATAGTAACTATGTTTTAGATGAGATAAAATTGAGGTGATTGTGGTATATCCAGGTGAAGAAACCTATAGACAGGTAGATACATTTTTTGGTTGGGTGCAGTGGCTCACGCCTGTAATCCCAGCACTTTCAGAGGCTGAGGCAGGAGGATCACTTGAGGTCAGGAGTTCGAGACCAGCCTGACCAACATGGCAAAACCCTGTCTCTGCTAAAAATACAAAAATTAGCTGGGCATGGTGGCAGGTACCTGCAATCCCAGCTGCTTGGGAGACTGAGGCAGGAGAATCACTTGAACCCAGGAGGCGGAGGTTGCAGTGAGCTGAGATCGTGGCACTGCATTCTAGCCTGGGCGACAGAGACTCTGTCTCCAAAAAAAAAAAAAAAAAAAAAAAAAAAAGATTCAAAGTTAAGTCTTTGTGAATATGTTTAGAAATGTGACTTGAAGTTTAAGTTCCTCTCCAAGAAATCAGATCAAAGATTTTTTACGTTCTGTTCAGTCACATTTACAATAGTTTATTATCTACTTACAACATGCAAAGTAATGTTGTAGACATATTGAGGGCATGTTAAAAATGAATAAGATAGTCTTTGCTTTCTAGAGGGTCATAACCATGAAGGAGATACTTTTAAAGTATATGTGGGTTCAGGTATAGTGGCTCATGCCTGTAATCCTAGCACTGTTGGGAGGCTGAGTCTGGAGGAGTACTGGGGCCCAGGAGTTCGAGGTTATAGTGAGCTGTGATTGTGCCACTGTACTCCAGCCTGAGTGAGGGAACAAGACCTTGTCTCTTAAAAAAAAGCATAAATACTAGAAAAATAATAGTATTTACTAGGTAAATACTAGAAGAGATAGTATTTACTAGTATTTACTAGGTAAATACTAGAAGAGATGTACAATTGAAGTGATGAGATTGCAAGGAGAAAGGGGAGAAACATATTTATTGGGATGATCTGGGAAAGCATAAAGACAGTGGGTTTTGAGCTGATTTTTAAAGGATTGACAGAATTTCGTCAGATAGATGGCAGTTATTCTAGACAGCAGAAAATAACCTTGAGCAAAGGCTTGGAAATAGAAGAAAAGCAGCGCTTATTTTGGGAATACAGACCAACAATCATATGCTCTTGGGGGCATACGATTTGAGAATGTATAAGGTTGAAAAGTAGGTAGGGCTAAGTTAATGATACTTTGTTAGAGTACTTCAAATTTAAGAAACTCCTTTTCAAACATGACATGTTATCCATTTGGATTTGTTGTGAGGCAAATTGTATTTTCTAGACTTATTTGACAAATACAGTGAAAGCTTGGAACGTAGTCAGCCCATGAAAGGACCTATGCTATTTCTTCCCTTCAATGAGATAGTTATAAAAGGGTGTACTGAATTCATAATGACACAGACTCTTATCACTAGATTAGAAAATGCCACATGTGACTAACAGGTGATTTCAGTTTCATTTTAGTATTCGATCTTAAAAGTTTACACATCCTTTAATTATACTTGTTTTTAGTGAAGAAGAAGTAAAATATTCACAAGATGAAGATTTTTCCAGAAGGGACTTTGAATCAAAGATGGCTTTTTATATTTGACAAGTAAGTCTGTGTTTTATATGTGTTAAATTTGGTTGACAAGGGAAAGTTTCCTAGTTTTAATTTCTTTAAATAGCTGCCTTATCTCAGATAGTTGTACAGTGGGCAAAAGTTGTGTATTTTGACTGGCAACCAGGTAGCCACATAGCTAGGTCGATATTTGGAATTGGATTGAAATTGTCTGTGTTAAACCATTCTTGCATTGCTGTAAAGAAATGCTTGAGACTAGATAATTTATAAGAAAAGAGGGCCAGGTGCAGTGGCCCATGGCTGTAATCACAGCACTTTGGGAGGCCAAGGTGGTTGGGTCACTTGAGGTCAGGAGTTCGAAATCAGCCTGCCCAATATGACGAAACCCCATCTCTAATAAAAATACAAAAATTAGCCAGGTGTGGTGGCGTGCGCCTATAGTCCCAACTAGTTGGGGAGGCTGAGGCAGGAGAATCACTTGAACCCATTGTCTTTGATATTAGCACTAGGCTCCTTTTTAGTTATGCAAGTATCTTTAGCAAGTGGTTGCTCTACAGCCTGCTTGTAGTCCTCTTCTGAAGAAGCTTTTTCTTTCTTTTTTACCTAACCAGGCTGCACATTTTTCAAACTTTTATGCTCTGCTTCCTGTTTAAATATAAATTCAAATTTTAAGTCATTTCCTTGCTCCCACATCTGGGCATAGGTTGTTAGAAGCAGCCAGTCCACATCTTGAATGCTTTGCTACTTAGAAATTTCTTCTGCCAGATACCCTAAATCATCACTCTGAAGTTCAAACTTCCATAGATCTCTAGGGCACAAATACAATCCAACCAAGCTTTTTGCTGAGGCATAACGTGGGTGATCTTTGCTTCACTTCTG